TAAAGCATCTCACATAAATCTTCCATGAATAAATAAAGCATCTCACATAAATCTTCCATGGATAAAGCAACTCACATAAATCTTCCATGGATAAAGCATCTCACATAAATCTTCCATGAATAAAGCATCTCACATAAATCTTCCATGAATAAAGCATCTCACATAAATCTTCCGTGAATAAAAAATCTCACATAAATCTTCCGTGAATAAAAAATCTCACATAAATCTTCCATGAATAAATAAAGCATCTCATATAAATCTTCCATGGATAAAGCATCTCACATAAATCTTCTATGAATAAAAAATCTCGCATAAATCTTCCATGACAAAGTGTACTTAAAACTGATATTTTCACTAATAATTCAGAATACTGTTAATATCACAAACTGCTTGAATTTTATATATCAGTGTAAACTAGAAAGATTTTTCTTTCTTTTTCTTTTATCGGTGATTCTTTGGGAGATTTATCTGGTGCCATAGTAGCCGTCCCTTATACAGCAGTGAAAGACTAGAGGGAAGATACCAACTCTTTGGCTACTCTTTTACCAATGAATAGTAGGATTGACCGTAACATTATAACGCCCCCACGGCTGAAAGGGCGAGCAAGTTCGGCGACGGGGATTCGAACCAGCTACCGTAAATTGTGAATCAAGCACCCTAGTCATACCAGGCTATTAAAAAGATAAAAAAAAGGGCTGGATATCTAGCGGTCCTTAACTTTTTAATGGTTTAAATTTCAGTACATGGATTTTTTGTAAAGACAGCACCTGCTATATATATATATATATATACATACATTTACATATTTTTTATTACAAATTTGTTTTAGTTGAAGTCAGAAAATGAACATTGTTATGAAACAATTACTTATTGAGAACAGCTTAATTATTTTAGCCATGTAAGTCTGCTAATATGCAAAAAAAAAGTACTTGAACTATACCATAGTAGTTGTAATTATGTAATAATGGAAGTTATCTCGACATATATATGTTGTTTCCCTATAAATAATAACAATAAATACTATAATCGCCACTATCCTCCCTTTAACAGTCCGTTTCTATACGTTGAAAAATTCACAAAATAATATTTCCGTTGCGCATGTATCAATAATAACACGGCAATACAACACAAGTAGGATGGCGTTCATCGAAACAAGTCCACTTATTGGTTATCAGTGTTATTTCGTAATAACGTAGCTGTAATTACGCTAAAACCAGTTACTTTTCGTGCTCTTATTCATTGATGACGTTATCACGCTGCTATAAACAGCCAATGAAACGTGGTCAATTATTCAACAGTCAAGCATATATTTTCATCATATTCTTAACTATCTCCTACTAGAAACAGATTTGAATATTAAAATTTGAGTTATTTGGATTTCTGTGCAACAAGAACGTATTTATACAACGTATTATTCATGTAAAAGATGATCAAATGATGAGAAAATGTAGAGGGTATTAATCACAGCTCAATTAAAACAAATATAATTTACCAAACGATGAATGAGCAGTAATACAACATAGATAATGGAACACTCTTTAAAATAAAACTCACGAAATTAATATTTTCTTTGTTATCAAGATTTTTCTTCTTCAGTTTCATTAACAGCATTGTCGTTGATTCTATTTCTTAAAAACGTTTCTTCCGTTTCGTTGTCATTTTTTACAATTCTGCTGTTCTCGTGTGATATTGTTTCTTCTTCCAGTCCCGTGTTTTCCCTTCCTCTGCTGGATCGAAGTGTTGCCGTTTCCACGTTTTCTATCCCTCTGCTGTTGTTCATGGTTGTTTCTTCTTCCAGTTCCATGCTTTCCTTACCTCTGCTGGATCGAAGTGTTGCCGTTTCCACGTTTTCTATCTCTCTGCTGTTGTTCGTGGTTGTTTCTTCTCCCAGTTCCATGCTTTCCTTACCTCTGCTGGATCGAAGTGTTGCCGTTTCCACGTTTTCTATCCCTCTGCTGTTGTTCGTGGTTGTTTCTTCTTTCGGTTCCACCGTTTCTCTATTTCTGTTGTTAAGAAGGGGCCTTCTTTCCTCGGAATATTCGTCTTCTTTGCTAGTAGTTTCAGATTTACCTCCTTCTGGGTCTTCAAATAGTGAACTAATTTTTTTATCCTTCTTCACGAACTTGTGATAAAGTACATACACTGCAAATAACAGATAAAGAGGAGCTCCGGTCATTAAAAGTTGGGCAGCAAGGGGCACTACTGCAAGATCAGCAAACGGCTGAGGTAGGGAAAGCTGCAATAGAATAAAGGCAATACTAGCATTCTGGAGTGCCGTTTCGAAGGCTACCGCAATGACCTGAGGCCGACTAAGTCGAAAAATCCAGGAAAAGATGGCACCAAAGAAGAAACCTCCCCATGCAACAGCCATGCCGGCTACAACAACACGCCAATTAAACAACAAAATCACATAATAATAAGAATAAATTCCGGAAACTAACGAAATTGCAACGCAAATTAACGTAAAGGGTCGAATAATTTTACGCGAAAAGTCTGCCCATCTGGGTTTGAATCGCTGAATGAGTATACCAATTCCAATTGGAATGGTGAGACCTATCAAAGACGTAACAAGTTTTTCGAATGGAATACTCAGTTCTCCAAGTGGCAGCATCTGTGATCCCAGGGTTGACATCCACAACGGAATAAATCCTGAAAGGAAAGGTTAAAATATTAACCTGGTTTTTCATCTTTAGACTTTGATGTAATACATTGTTTTCTGATATTTCAACAACCGTACCTTTCTGACACTTAATAATCCAGTCGCAGATCAATTGACTTATTAACAACATTTTGCTTTCCTTTTACAACTTTATATAACTTAATTGCTTGATATTTTAAGTATACAGTAACAGTCGTTAGTTATCATAATAACAAATATACAGGCCTAACAAGTGTTAGTGTGTTGCGGGTAGATATATTTCTGCCCTGGGAGTTTTTGAATTTTTCTTTTCTGTTTCTTGAAGTTACGATTGTAAAAACTCTCTTTCCTATTCAAAAACTGTAACAACCCACAGTTATGAGAAAATTTACTTAAATAAGGATACAAAGGTCATCATCCTCTTTTGTAGCTCAAATGTTCAAATTTTACAAGTACTACAACATTTAATGTTGATTAACGTAACTCCATGTGGTTTGTTTGAAGTTGTGTAAGTGGATGCTCTAATAAAATATAATGTAGCCTCTGGAATCCTGAAACATTTGGAAAGGGGTGGTTATTATGGTTGACAAAAGCCTTGATATTTCGGCCATTTTAAATGGCGGAATATCTTTGAGTAGCACAGCTTTTCACAGGAAAGATACAGATATTACAAAACTTATACTTGAGGATTCATGTGTGATATATTATTACAGGGATTTAGTTTCTTAGTAATGAAATTCTCGAATGGTCCAGACTTAAACCTTATATAAATAGCAACAACTGTGCTTCAGATTCTCTGGCTTTTTACTTCAGAAACGTTTAAATAATAGTGCAGTATTAAAGTATGGTATTAGTTAATGACAGGAAATTTCAAACATGATTCCAGAAAAAAAATATTATTCGCAAAATGTGAACAAAGAAAATTGAACTGATTCCGATGAATATCCTATATAAGAATTCACTGGATATGTTTTATGTTTGATCAATCTCGAAAACTTTTGTTAAAAGTTTATATTATCAACGCATTTTCAAATGTCATGTGATTTGCGATTCTAAAGGTCTCATACCAATTATCAACGCATTTTCAAATGTTATGTGATTTGCGATTCTAAAGGTCTCATACCAATTATCAACGCATTTTCAAATGTCATGTGATTTGCGATTCTGAAGGTCTCATACCAATTATTCGTTAAAAAATGCTCACGCTGTGGCGTTGTCGTTAATTGGACAGTAGCAGGTTCGTCATGAGCATAAAGAAATGACTACGACTTACTTCATCAATTTAATCAAATGTAAATTATTTTTCCATACGTCCATCCAAAATATAGCATCAAACATAACATTCATAAACTAACTTAAACCTTAAAATGATTAAACAGATTATTCTTTTTTTTTAACAACATAAAGTCATATTGGAATAATCTGTTTACATATCTACGTAGTTATAACGGTTATATGCTACCTTAGCTGAATGAAATAATAATATTGTACAGACTTAGCGTTTTAGTATGCACATAACAAGTAATTTGATAGTTTCAACAAGCTTACCAAGTGCTGCTATGGTACTAATGAATGTCATGATAACGCTAAGACTAACGTCCCCATGAAATATTATGTTCCAAAAGTTGCTCATAGTACCTCCTGGTGAGCATCCAAGGGTAAAAAGGCCTAGTCTCCAGGTCAAGTCATTGAAGAGTAACAGACCAAATCCAAATGATGCCTATATTTGAATAGTCAATATTAGAATGTATAACTAACATTTTTTTAAAATATGCAACTAAACCTTAAACTTATCTTCATTTAAGCAATATTGTTAGAATTCAATGTTAAAAATACACGTGTCCAATAAGTGCCAGCTTAACTACGAATATTTGTGAAAACTACTACGGTTATAATGACAACTAGAAACTCGTTTTTTCTTGAATTAAGCGAGAACTAACTACTTCAGAGAGTTGGTACCTGTAAAATTGAACTCTGATCTTAACTGTTCCTCATGAACCCATTTTTTTGAAAAAAACACTCAAACTCGTAGCTTCAAACATCCGACATTTTTTATAAATTCATTATCATATTTCCAATATGTTAAGCTCAAATAACCTATATAAAATTTTGGAACTTTACAAAAACACTAAAACTTTTTTATTACTATGATCAACAAGTCTTCAAATATTCTATATGTTAGTTTGGAAGTTTTTAACGAGTGTTCTAATACTCTTCATGTTAAACAAATAGAGTTGTTTATATATTTGTTTAACTACAAGTAAAAGCTTGGAATGCTCTTTATGTTAGTTTGGTTAGTTTTAATGAGTTTTCAAACAGTCTTTTCGTTCGTTTGGAAGTTTTTCAAGAGTGTTCGGACAAGCTTCATGTTAGTTTGGAAATTTTTAATGAGTTTTTCAAATACTCTTTATATTAGTTTGGAAGTTTTAAAACTGATAAAGATTTTTTTTTGTATTTAAAGAGATAAAGAGTAAGTTCCATTTTAAATTACATAAAGAGAAAATGGATAAAATACTAATAACAGCAATTTAATATGTTCGGATTCTTATATCGAATGACCTGAAATAAACAAGAGCTCTTTGCTGCTTTCGTGTTGTACAAATGTTTTAAATTTGCAAAGGAATTATAAGATGAAAGCCACATACGAATGCAAATTATTTTTATCACATTCCTCTTATATATTTGTTTATGGACTAATTTCTCTATCTTTGCCACCTTTTTTTTTTTTTTTGCCCTTCTGATTTTAAGTATATAAAGGGTTAACTAAAAGGAATGTGAACAAAATTTTGAAATTCCAGCATGGTTTTCATTACTTTTGTAAAGTATACTGAGCTATTCGCCAACAAAGACTTTGTACACGCACAACACTGATATTCTTGTACTGCATACAAAATAACATTTCAGGTCGACTTTTGGCTGCCTTGAGTTCAATCTGTCTACCAACTTCTAGTTTTGAACAGATGACCTTCTGGACAGCGACTTGTGTCCGGAAAAAACAAACCGTCAATCTCAAACGCTGTTATTTCTGATTTCGAATTATTAGTGAATTAGTCAGATAGAATTTAATGACAAAAACAAAACACCTGATTTGTACCACAGTTTTGTTAAGTTTAATGTACAGAAATTCTTATGCATAAAGACAGCTATGTATAACTAAATCCAAGAATTGAAACAACACTATAACTACAAAATCATACAAACAGCTTCATGGCATTGTAGTTTTAATTGAAAGTAAGTTTGAGGTTATGTAAAATCGAAAAGCATATCCGCTTTGGACTACAGATAATATGGTAGAAACTTTAAAAGTTTTAAATCTCGTCTGGAAAAAAGAATTTACGGTTTATCAAGAAGAAACATCAACTTAATGTATTGATATTACTTATTTAATACGAAACTTGTGCAAAAGCAAAGATACATCAACATGTCACTATTCGGATTATGTATCATTCTGTTCTTAGACTCTCCGAATCAGAACACCCACTATGCAATCGTTCTGTCAAGATGCCTGAAATTATTCAAAGGTTTAATTTATCTCTGTATCCATAATAACAGTTTGGACTCAAACATTTCATCAGGAAAAAAGGTCCAAATTCCAAGAGGTCAACTTGCGCCTGTTATTTATTCAATAACAAGACCTTTAGACTTGTCTAGCCAGAGTCAGAAGAGTATGATAAGTTCATCAGTATAAATACCACAGCTAGAGGAGAGTATAAACTGCCTTCTTGTCAAACCTCGGTCAGCCTAGGCTACTTTAACATCATTACTTCAACCCAGATTGATTATTCGTATCAAAAAAATGACAGTCATAGAAATATAGATATATTCCCCTCAATGAATGCTACAGCGTCACAAATTATGAGTTTCTGCTTACATTTTCACTTCGGAAGAAATATATATAATTTAATACAATATAAAAATTGGCCCCCAGGTGGCTCAGTGGTAAGTCTGTAGGCTTACGACGCTAAAACTCGAGTTTCAGTACCCTTAGCGACCATATTACAAATACCCTATCGCGTAGCTTTGCGCTTAACAATAACCAAACCAGTATAAAAATTGAAATATACAAAATAGTCTCTAGTATATATATTATGACCGAAAGTATCACTACAAATTATGACGACAGTGCTACATAATTTTGTGCTTATCTTACCAATGGCATGAAAAAAAACTGACTAGCCAGTCCTATAAGCGGGGCTACCGGTTTTTTAAGAACGTCGATGATTAAAGATACATCAATGTGGCATCCCATATTGATGTTATTGATTACGACCAAAATTCCCAAGATTATAACGAAGAGAATTTGACTAGGTGACTCGGATCGAGACACAGTGACAAAGTATTGTCCATCCCACAATGTAACCACTGTTCCATCTGGTTCTGCAAATAAGCTAGTCTCGTTTTCATTAATACTCGTCGTTAGGCTTACAGTCCAGAGAAGAGTTGTAAAGCCCAAAAATTTTCCCTCAATGAATAAAGTTGAATTTTTTCCGTCAAAAATATCCGAGATGTTAAGTATTATTTTTTCACTTCCTGCAACTTTCACAACATTTTCATCTTCAGGAAGTATAGAAAATTCCAGACGTGCTTCAGAAAAGATGTCTTCATTGAATTCAGTCAATTGACATGACGATTTAGGTTCGATGGAAAATACCAGAGGCTTTATCTCTTGTTCCGAAAGTTCTAGTAGGTAGGGTGGAGAGAACTTGACCGTAAAGTTATCAGCCAAGCACAGTATGTCACAGACAGTCGCAGCTTTTGTGAAACATGAACTCAAACAAGTGGTGTAAAATGTAAGCTTTAGTATTGCTAAAAGTGCTGCAATCATCATGTTTGCTGTCGTAAAAACTTCCCTGACAAACTATTCAAAGTCACTGTACTCGTCAGGAAGGTAGTATTCAGGATAATATTTTGACTAAGAAAACAGTTAAAACAATGTAACAGTGTTATTGATAATGTAACTCTGTAACGAGATCTTCAACTCAAACTCCACAACGAAACATTCAAAATCCAGCTTAATTTAACACATAAATAATACACCTTAAAGCACTTGAACTAATGACAGTTTGTATCCAGTAGGCAATTAAACTTTGGTATACTGTTACAACAGCTACCCTGTTTTCGTAAGAGCTACGCAATCACCTCAGTGACAAGTATGTTACAGGACTGATAAATAGCTTCAAAGTCCTTTCCTGAAAACTTGCTATAACTCTTCAGATAGCACGCATGCGCTTAGAAAGTCCACTGAAAGCAAAATAATAATTTATTTTCGAAAGTAAAAATGCTTTAAATTTCTCCAGATGGTGCTTAGTTTTAAATTTAGTATTTTCGTTATTGAACTATTTTTCTAATCGTCTATTGTTTTTTTTCTTATTGTATTACATTTATCAATACATGTTTTATAGTCGTTTTCAAATTGATGTATTTATGATATATATATATATATATATGCAGAGGTCGGGTACATTATATTCAAACGATTTTGGAACCTTATCACATCGTTACAGTCCATGTCGTCACTTCCGGTCATACTCTAGCTGACGACTATGCATCTTGACAACATCCCTAGAATATAGTTTCTATTATAAAAGGCTCCATCATAACGATGTCATGTCCAAAGCCTACCATTCTTCCTTGCCTGTTTACAATAATCTATCTAATATACGAGGATGACGGTTTCCCAGCGTCTGTTTCTGCAGTTTGTTCGCACATAAATTTCATAAGTACTGCATCCGGCGACTTAGCCAGTATGTTTTCGTATATAATAGCATGAATACTCGTTTCTTTCTCCAGGTGCTTGAGGTATGATTAGATGTGTGACTGATCTTGGTGAACTCATACCCTTTTGTCCTTGTTCCCAGACAGAGATACTTATTTATTATGTTGCATACTGTTGCCTGAGGCACAAGTCCTTCGCCATTGACATATGTATTCGTGGATTTTCACCTGTCACAAGACGACGTCCTTTGCTCACACAGCAGAGTACAACTTATTACAGGTCTCTTTCTTGATGGACCTGGGTCCACAGTTTGATCCATTTTTCTTTCTGGAAAATATAAATTCCCGGTCTGAATACATCTTTATGACCTGAGTATATTCTGCTTTGGAAAAGGTTGTTGTATAAACTTACCCCAAACAATCGAGTTTCGGTGGCTTCAGACTACCCACATAACACCAAACAATGTAAAAATGTAGTTCTAATACACACCTTTCCACCGCGACTTTATAAGAGCAATAGTTATTACGTGCCTTGGTGAATTACATTATCAATATCGTTTCAATATGACGTACTCAACCCGCTATGTATTTATATATGTGTATCATTTGTTCACAAACAAAAGTACCCGTCCCCAGTGATAGGAAAGTTTAAGTTAATTTATCAATTCAAATTATTTCATGGACTTTAAAAAGGTTAACTGCTCTTGGTTTCACTCAGAGCCAAAGCTCTGAGCTACGTATACCGCGAAAAGTAATTGTTGAGAATTTCGGCCATGCTAAGAGCCGATCAACAATAACATATGGTAAATCTACATTTTTATTCTTTAAGTTACGTCACATTTTGAAATTTGAATGATAGTGTGATTAATTCCTAACAACTTAGTGTAGAATATCCCATTAAAACAAAATTTGGCATCAACATTATTCCTGCCTGTCTCCAGTCATTTCAAAAGTGAATGTTGAGCTCTGTCTGTGTGCGCAGCTTTTTAAACGCAGCGCTGGAAGCGACTTTCGTAACCGGGAGACAGACGAACGCTCGGACAGACACCACGGGTTCGCAATATATATTTAATATAAAAAAAGAGCAAAAACCGTTCTTTGGTCTTGATTATCTTTCGATCATGTTTCTGTGAGAATGTTATAAATGTAGGATCTTTGTAATTACCAAAAGTGTTCAGTGCCATAAACTCCACTCTGGTGAGTTCTTTTTAAACATAAGTTGAAAATAAAAAAAAGTAATTAACACTTTATCTGTACGTACCAGTGATATATTAGAAGATGTAACTTACGTAAGTCTCAAGAGATGGCAGCACATAAAGAGATTACAAAATATACTCGCTAATTGTTTATATTTTTATAGGAGAAACAATATTTTAAATAGTAAAAGTTTTTATAGATGGATTTATGTAAATTGAGCTTGTACAGGACTGTGTTGTGAATTATTGTAAAGTTCTTAAAGTTATCAGTTATAAATTAGGAAGCAGAAGTGTATACTTTCAAACACACTTTTTAGTTAGTTTGTTTGTTTTTAATTTCGCGCAAAGCTACACGAGGGCTATCTGCGCTAGCCGTCCCTAATTTAGCAGTGTAAAACTAGAGGAAAGGCAGCTAGTCATCACCACCCACCGCCAACTCGTGGACTACTCCTTTACCACCGAATAGTGGGATTGACCGTCACTATATAACACCCCACGGCTGAGAAGGCGAGCGTGTTTGGTGTGACGGGGATTCGAACCCGCGACCCTCAGAATGCGAGTCGAGCGCCCTAACCACCTGGCCATACAGCTTCGTTCATCAAGTTGGTGCCATAGAAGCCGACATTGTTCGAACGTGGATCAAGATCATCGTTTAACTACGCGTCCCCCGTGGGGTCAGCGGTAATTCTACGGAGTTACAGCTCTAAAATCAGGGGTTCGATTCCCGTCGGTGGACACAGCAGATAACCCGATGTTGCTTCGTTAAAAAATGCACACAGACAATGTTTAACTACGCGGACTTCGCTTCTTTTTTTTTACCTAAAATAATTCTAATTGCTTTTATTTCACCGCCTTACATGTTTTTTACTTAAAAAAGATTAATAAAGATATAGTTAATCAACGTAAAAAAAAGACATAAACCTGAAGTACTGGTAGAAATAGTTAAAAAAAAAGAGGATATTAAGAAAGTTTCTTTTCTTTCGTTAATTTCCGAAGATTCGATAAAAATATTTACAATGCAATAGACTACTTTTAAATTAAAACATCGACAGACTTATTTTTATATATAAACATGAATAAATTTTATAAAACATATATTGTATAATAAGATTTTAAATTCTTACAAAATTACTTATATAATAATCATTCGAAAGAGACGTTTCAAAAGAAAAACATGTATAACACAATTCCCAGATGTATAACACAATTCCCAGGTGTATAACACAATTCCCGGATATATAACACAATTCCCAGATGTATAACACAATTCCCAGATGTATAACACAATTCCCAGATATATAACACAATTCCCAGATGTATAACACAATTCCCAGATGTATAACACAATTCCCAGATATATAACACAATTCCCAGATGTATAACACAATTTCCAGATATATAACACAATTCCCCACGGTGAACAGAACACAGATAACTCATTATGTAGTTTTGGGCTAAAAACAACAACAAAATTTAAGTAATACAAAAAAGTAAGAGTTAAGTAAAACTGAATTTTGCAAAATTTCGTTAGACGCATTAAACACGTTTTGTTTGTTACCCATTTATGCATTTGCGGCATGTATAATTATTTTTAGGCTTTGTTTATTGTTGCTTTCGTTGTTAAGACAGTTTTTAATCATATATAGTTGCAAACAATTACTATTGTGTAACTTTAATAGTCCCACTCTTTCGAAAAAATATGCTCTGTAATGGCCTCTCTTCTTGCGTTCTTTACATAAAATACTGTTCCAATGGCCAACAGGCTTTCCCATTGTGTGCTGCCATGTATAAATTAATGGAGTCTGAGTTAGGAATACATAATTAGCCGACGTACTCGCTCAACACACGGAGAAAACATAGAGGTCCCTGGGGGTGACATGGGTGACTAAAATCCGAACGACGACACTCTAAAGGGTTTAAGGATAAATACCAGTTTGGGTGAAAATTGGTCCATTGGTTCGCCAATTATAAATGGATACACACAGAACTATTATTACGAGCACTGTCTTAGCGACAAAGGATCTTTGGATTTATCGCAGACAGACCAGTCATATTGTACAATGTAGTGACTGTAGGCTGTGACATATATCAGATACTTGGTACATTACAGTGACTGTAGCCTGTGACATATATCACATATTTGGTACAATATTGTGACTGTACCCTGTGACATATATCAGGTATTTGGTACAATATTGTGACTGTACCCTGTGACATATATCAGGTATTTGGTACAATATAGTAACTGTAGCCTGTGACATATATCAGGTATTTGGTACAATATAGTGACTGTAGCCTGTGACATATATCAGGTATTTGGTACATTACAGTGACTGTAGCCTGTGACATATATCAGGTATTTGGTACAATATAGTGTCTGTACCCTGTGACATATATCCCATATTTGGTACAATATTGTGACTGTACCCTGTGACATATATCCCATATTTGGTACAATATTGTGACTGTACTCTGTGACATATATCAGGTATTTGGTACAATATAGTAACTGTAGCCTGTGACATATATCAGGTATTTGGTACAATCTAGTAACTGTACCCTGTGACATATATCCCATATTTGGTACAATATTGTGACTGTACCTTGTGACATATATCAGGTATTTGGTACAATCTAGTAACTGTACCCTGTGACATATATCCCATATTTGGTACAATATTGTGACTGTACCCTGTGACATATATCAGATACTAGGTACATTATAGTAACTGTAGCCTGTGACATATATCAGGTATTTGGTACAATCTAGTAACTGTAGCCTGTGACATATATTAGGTATTTGGTACAATATTGTGACTGTAGCCTGTGACATATATTAGGTATTTGGTACAATATATTGATTGTAGGTGTGGCCTCGTAGTTAGCGTGCCGGACTGTAAATCCGTGACAATACGCTCACTCTCTTGTACGATAAATTGTGAATGAAAATAGCGAGAAAACTGATAAGATGTTCACCATGACCGACAACCAGAATATGTTCGCCAGTGGGGGAGTCGACAATATGCTGTTTATGCCCACTGAAGTAAATATGTCAGGAGAGGGATGTCTTACACCCTCCCCCTCCCCCCACTTCCATACACACATATTTAACATGTCACTTCTCGAGTAACGCCCTGTCTGTGTGACACATTCTCATTAACGCC